TATATATATATATATTAAATTTACTCGTTAAAATAATGGGCAATTTATACAATAAAGAAAACTTAAAAATAAAATATTAAAACAACGTACCGAATGTATGGGAATCATTTTTATCATGCGTCAATACAATATCTAATGTCTGGGGACGGATCGGTTTTTCGGATTCTTGATCATTTCCTCTTGTATGAGCATCACTGATTTTAGATATACATTCCATCTTGGATATGTTCTCATTGTCATATACACTGGTCTCCTGTACCACAAAAACATCTTTATTATTCTCAGTAATATCTTGACAGTATATTTTTTTTCCATGATCTTTGTTTTCTGATAAATTTAATAAAGTATCGCTGTTATAATCTTGTGATAGAATGTCTCTATTAGAATCTTGTTGTAATTTCTGTACCATATTGTTACTACACAACTGTTCTCCAATATTTTCAAATTTCAATGAAATTTTCTCTTGAACAGCGATACATGTTTGCAAGGTATTCTCTTGTATTGCTACATCTTCACCGATTATTTCAGTTACATGGTTATCTTTTGTCGTTTTATAAAGCTCATTACTTTTTGTATATTTTAGTTGATTACTTTTTAAATCGAATTTTACTGTATTATTGCATTTTACATCTACTATATTTTCATTACATATATCCGTATTATAATCAATTACAGGAAATTTTTTCGTCTTCTGAAATTCCTCCTGTGATATTTTTGGAAGTTCGCCTATCATAATTTTCTCAAATATTGGTGCTTCATTAACATCTTCGTCATCTCGTTGACAATGATTGGCATTCTTTTCTCTATCTCTTCTCAATTCATATGATTGTAACCAGGTATTATCCAAAAGTGATATATTATCCGTTTTAGATCTTTCTTCTCTCTCTAACTCTAATAAATACTGATTTAATTCTTCTTCAGAAAAGTCGTCGCTGGTATTAATTGTACGTACCATACGTACATTAGAGAAAATGTCACTTTTAGTTGTTTCTATATTATTATCTGGATTTTCACTGCTTGTTATATTTTTATCCAACTTTTTAGTCTCTACTATGCTTTCTTTATTTTCAACAAATGTGTATTTGTCGATGAAATTTCGCCTATTCAAGTCTAACTGCTTTTGTTTGCTAATAAATTTGTCAGAATTTTCTTCAAATGTATCATTAGCTATGACCTTTTTATCTATATCATCTTTATTACTAGACAATTCCGTATCTATTACATCATTATAATTCGAGATGGCCGTGTTTGGTGCAGAAATTATAGAATTATTTTCTTCAGATTGTACCGAAATAGGATGATGAAACATAATATTTTGCATTGTATTATCCTGTTTGTTATTAATTTCAACTTTGACGAACTTACTTAATTCCATCGGTAAAATATTTTTATGATCCAAAATATTTTTGTCAATTACATTAATTATCCCTTTCTCCATTGAAATTGAAGAAAGTTCATTAATGATCACATCTCTGTTTGATTTAAAATCTTTCTCCACTGCATCATCTATGGATCTTCCAAATAAATCGTCTTTATCTAATACAGGTTCAACATAATTTAAACTTCCAGTAGGAGCATTAATATATTCGTTCAAACTATTAAACACATTGCTGATACTAGGCTTGAAATTTGATTGATTTAATTTTTTGTCATATCTATCACCATCTTTCGAATCACTACTTGCATTCTGTTGTTCCTGGGTCGAGTTTTGTGATGTATTATTATACATCGTTGAAGACACTTCATCAAAATCAGTATAAGTATGAACACATGATTTCTGCCCAATTGTAATATCATTTATACGATCATGTGCATAGAAATTATTTACGGATTCTCTACTCTCCGACATAAATACTATTTCCTTTTCAGTTAATGAATATTTGGAGTCAATGTCTATTGGTTGAGTATCTCCATAGTTTTCAACAGACGGTACTACATCGATTGTTACGCCTTTCTCAGGATTAAAGTTACATATTTTCGGAACCACAGATTCATTATGTTTCTCCACAGCTGAAGCTTTAATCGTAGAAGTTGCGACTGACGCTATTTGCTCTGCGCAATCTGAAAAAATAATCTAATGTAAAATTTTATATTAACTAAAATTGTTATTCAAAATAGTTTGTCTACAATATACACTACGCGCAACAATTAGGGGATTACTTTAAAAACCAGTAAATTTTCCCAATCTTTAAGATGCTATATTTTAACTTCCAGAGATCGCAAGACAATTTTTTAAAGGGAGAAACCTCGATTTTAAAACAGTTAAAATGAATTTATAAATTTAGTAGTGGCTCGCAAATTACAAACATAAAATACAAGGAGCATTCAGCTACGAGCAGGATATTTTTTTGTGAATGTCATATAGTTAAAATTCTTACGTTAAAGATACAAATTTATAGACGTTTCGGCTTATATCAGACCATCCTCAGTATACAATATAAATAATATATAAATAGACGCAAGATAATAGAAGCAAGAATTTTTCGATCACATATCACGCAAGCGTAGATTGTAATTGAACTAAATTTTATTGTTAATTTATTCTTTTGATCTTATGACTAAGAATCATAGATCTTATATATATTTCAATTCTTTTAATCTTATGATTGCGAACTATTTATATATTATTTATATTATATATTGAGGATGGCCTGATATAGGCCGAAACGTCTATGAATTTGTATCTCTAATGTAAGAATTAAAATAATATTTTTTGCCCCATCGAGAGAGAATGATTTTTTTTCGCGATAATCAGAAGCGGGTCATGTTAAATTCTAAAAATTTCATCTCTTTCCCGCTTCTCACGAGTAAAACAAAGATGGGGAAAAATTTCACTATATAAGTGAGGGGCCTCACGTCCCTACTATAATTGGTCAATTATGTTACTGCTTACGTTTTAATACTTAAATTTTTTTGTGCTATAGTCCGTAAGGGCTAAGGCTACCGCAGACAAGATTCTATAATGGTAAACGTAAGGTGAAAACTTAAGCCGATAAGCCAGATATTGCTTTAGTAATTTGATGGAAATAGAAATAGCAGTAAACTTATCCATAAGGCTGTAATGATGAATATCGTTACCAGCATGTAACTCGCGGATGATAGCCGTTCCGTCGAAGGCTTACGGGCATTACTGAGTGGCGCCGATCAGTATCATTCCCGTTCGTATTGCCGATCGGCGAAGATGGCCGAGTAAGACCGGAACAATACGAGCAACAATCCGGCGCGCTATCGCGCACAGCTGATTGCCGAATATACATGCCGCATACCAACACAGACCGCGCGCGCGTATAAAAAAGCCGTCTGTGGCATACGAGACCATGTTCGCCGAAACATATACCCACACACACCTCACCCACACACATACTCACATACACACCGCGTCAAGTATTGTATCCGATACCGTTACACATACATCACATAGTATATACATATTCAGCGTTTCTAATACAATAAAAGCATTCTTCACATCAAAATCGTATTATCGATCAACCTGCATCTTTCCTTTCCATGCAAACCTCTAGCGTTCCGATCCGTTACTACCGAATCCGACGAGCTAATCCGCATCAAAATTAGATTGTTTCAAGGTAAATTTCAACGGAATTTTATGGTTTTTTACGGAATTTTGTCTGCGATAAACCCAAGGCCATATGAAAAACTAAGACGTAAGACTTAAGCAGTAAGCAAATTGACTAACGACTGCCGCAGATAAAATTTCTGTAAAAGTAATCTTAAGACGTGAACTTAAGCTGATGAGCCAATCAGGATACTGTTTTAGATCTACGTACTCTAACGGAAATAGAAATAGCAGTAAACTTATCCATAAGGCGAGTTTCAACCGATTGAAATTCACCTTATTGCAAGATTATGGATAAGTTTACTGTTATTTCCATTTCCGTTAGATTACGTAATCTAAAGCAGTACCTTGATTGATCCATAACCTCGCAATAAGGTGAATTTCAACTGGTTAAAACTCACCTTATGGATAAGTTTACTGCTATTTCTGTTTCCGTTAGAGTACGTAGATCTAAACCAGTATCCTGATTGGCTCATCGGCTTAAGTTTACGTCTTAAAACTGTTACAAAAATTTTGTCTGCGGCAGCCCTTAACGACAATTGTTGATATCGTTGCGCAGATATTATTAGGTTAATCAGAAAGTTCCATCCGTTTAACGGCGAATAGATGTAGAATTGTCAATAACTCTAATATCTAAACCAAACTTAATTTTTTAGTTTTACCATCTGTGAATACAATTTAGTATATAAAGGTACATGTTCGCATTAATAACATTGCTTCTTACTGCATCGAAAATGTCGAAATTTGAGCCAAAAGCGTCATTTGTGCGACGTGTTAATCTTTTGCTTCATATGGAAGAAAACTGAGCTCATCAAATGCTTGTAGAAGTTTATGTTATAATAGTGCTCCTTCCGATAAAACATGCAGAGAATGTTTCGACACTTTAAAAATAATAATGATTTTGATGTGGAGCGTTCTGGACGGTCAAGAGCATTCAAAGACGAAGAATTGCAGGCATTGGTGAATGAAGATCCATGTCAAACGCAAAAACAACTTGCAGAAACATTAAATTGTGCTTAATCTGTTATTTCCAATTGTATGAAAGCCTTGGGAAAGGTCTATAAGGAAGTAAAATAGGTCCCATATGAACTGAAGCCAAGAGACATTAAAAGGCGAAAAACCATCAGCGAAATTCTACTTGCTAGGCAACAAAGAAAAGGATTTTTGCATCGTATCGTCATTGGGAATAGAAAATGGATTTATTTTGACAACCCTAAACGTCGAAAAACCATTTGCGACCCCAGCCAATTCTCAACATCGACGCCAAAGCGGAATATCCATGAGAAAGAAGGCAATGCTCTGTATTTGGTGGAATCAGAAGAGTGTAGTGTACTATGAGTTGTTGAAATCTGATCAAACCGTCACAGGAATCTCTACTGAGAACAAATTATTTGAGCCGAGCATTGCACGAAAAACAACCAGAATGAAACGAGACAGCATTAAATTATTTTGCTTCATGACAACGTTCGGCCTCACGTCACAAAACTTGTCAAGGAAACATTAGAAGCACTTCGCTGGGAAGTATTACTCCATGCTTATTCACCAGACTGTGCCCCTTTCGACCACCACTTGTTTCGATCGATAGCACAAGCACTTGCTGAGGAACGCTTCAATTCTTATGAAGACGTCGAAAAATGGGTCTCTAACTGGGTAGCCTTCAAAGATGAATCACCGCGGAATTCGCTTGCTGTCCGAAAGATGGGAAAAAGTCATCGCTAACGATGGACAATATTTTGATTGATGTACTTTTTCATTTTGTTTGTTAAATAAATATATACTTTTTGCAAGGACGGAACTTTCCGACCTAATATGTAAAAAAGCTGCGCAATGACATCAACGACTGTCGTTAAGAGTTATAGAATCGGCCTCTAAAATTCTTCAGTTACATTTCAGCGCACAGGATCTTAAAAATAATCGTTAGAATTTTTCAGGGTTAGAACTCATGTCAGAATTTGTAAAAAAACGTTTTCAAACAAATTTATTTTTGATAAAATTTTTTTTTAATTCGGTATTTACTTGAGTTCTGGTAGTCCTCCCCCCCCCCTCTCCCTTCAGAGTTCTAACAATCACGCTATATAGATCGAAACGCTAAAATAAAAAGTTATTATAACCCTTCAAAGATTCGGAATTGTAAAATTGGCTCCTCTGATACTTCAAATATTTTCATCGCTTTAATCGACGGAATCCTTTCTAAAACTGATAGAGAACTCTATAATTCTTCAGAGATCAACCAGAACATTGATTATTTTTTCAAATTTTGAAAAAGTGACTTTATTGATTTCCTTACTTCTTAAATCTTATGTCTTAAGTTTTTCTATGTACTAAGGTCTTTATTGTAGAAAGCCGATAATACTAAAATTAGCCAGGTATGACTACAGGTATACTATGAGTGACCATATACGTTTGCAAATAAAAAATTCTGCTTCATCTTTGCGTACATATACTAATAAACTTTATTCGCATTTGTGTATTGTATAAATGTTATTTGTTTTATTTCACACATTCTTAAAGATTTGTATATACTTTTCAATATATTATAGCGTTTCCACTGAGAACTCATTAACAACCGAGTGCTGATATAGCATCAGCGTCAAGCTAGATTTGAATTAAATCTGCACTAATACAGTAATATTGCAGATTTAACGTAGTTCAGTAGAACATATCGTTGAATTACTTATTTTACAATAATATTCTAATTTGTTTATTTCTTACAACAAATTTTTTTATTAACTTTTCTTGAATTTCAAAACTTTTAAACTCAAAATGTTTACATTGTTGCATAAATATTACTACACATACTGAAACTGAAAATAACATTGTTATAAAATTAATTAGATAAATATATGTAATATACACAGTACGACAAATATGTTCCCGGACACGAACCACATCTCAGCAACCAGTGGCAACATCTGTGCGTTCAAACATTTGAAAGGTTTAACATTTCCCTATCATCTGTCAAAGTTTCATTCATTTTGGTTGACATATAACGAAGATATCACAGTTCATGTTAAACAAGATTTTGGTCGAGGTAGAAATTTTAATATGGAACAAAGAGCAGTGATTAAATTTAACGCAAAACTTGGTAAAAGTGCATCAGAAACATTCCGATTGATGCAACAAATTTACGGCAATCAATGTCTAGGTCGTACAGCTGTTTTTGAGTGGCATAAGCGTTTTTTGGAAGGCAGAGAGACCCTTGAAGATGACAAAAAATCAGGACGGCCAATTTTGGTTCGAACACCCGAAATGATCGAAAAAGTACGTAATTTTGTTGCAAACGATCGCAATGCGTCACTAAAAATGATGGAGGAGGCTTTAAATATCAGTAGAGAAACGATTCGAACCATATTACATGAAGATTTGGGTAAAACGAAGGTTTGTGCGAAGTTTGTTCCACACACATTAAGAAGCGATCAAAAATCAATGAGAATCAATCATTCCAGAGACATTGTTGCAGCCGCAGCAAATAATCCAAACTTCCTAA